GTATTTCCTTATTTTCTATTTCCTTTTTTTTTAAAAAAATCAGAATTACTGAGAACTGCCTTGATGTATATGTTAGTACAGATTGCAGATAGGGCAATGTTTACATGTGATTTTTTTTTTTTTTTGGTCATGTTTGTCTCACACCCCATTCAATGCTCCATTGTATTTGTGAATCTCGCCTTTGCACATGGGGAGTCATATTGGACATCTCTTGTTTCTTGTTTCTTCAGAGCCCTTTTCTACTCCCAAATTCACTGATGCAAACTTTAACTTTTATCATCAATTTGGTCAAAGACTGAAAATCTTGTGTACTCTTTCCTGGAAGTAAGCCCTATTAAACACTGCAGGATTTACTTCAGAGGAAACCCATACACTCTCCCTTCCAGTAATCAGAGCTGCATTTGCTCACATTCTTCCCTTGTAACACTCCTCTAGCAATCCTCCCTTTGCCCTTACTGATGAAATCTAAATTGTAAGATCCATGGGGCAAGGACTTGCTTCTTTATTTATGGACCTCTGTATAATGAAAGCACTGTGCAAATAATCTATCAACATGATCTTCTCAAGGGTACCTCTCCACCTCCCAGCAATAACTCAAATGGCCCTTTATTAATAGCTCAGGGTTGAAGCTACTTCTCTGCTACAGAACAGGCATCAATATTTATTGTTTCACTTGAAGCAACTGGCACTCTGAGAGACACAGATGGGACTTGTATTAGAACATTTGCTTTTCGACATCTGTCAAGATTCAAAGACACACAAAGCTCAGCTGAGACAAATTCCAGAAGAACAGGAATGTTTATCTGCCGTATCTCAAATCCCTTAGAGACCAAATGGCTTTGGATGCCTTTTCATAGGCAGCGGAGACTGCTTGTTGTTGAATGCATTATTTTGCAATGGCCCTGTAAACATATTATCAACCAGTTACCTGTATAAGGTACTGGATGAGCCTGACAATGAAATAAAATGTTCACCATCATGCCCAGGACCTCATGGACCACAGGCCCTCCAAAACTGGGCCTTAGCCTTACAAAAAGCAGACCAGGGACATCTGTGCCCATGGATGTGTTTGAGTAAGGCAAGCGCGATGATAGAATGTGTGCAATTTTGAGCTTGGCCACTTTTGGCTTTGGCTCTGCCTACCATAATATGTGGACTATAGAAGATGATCCCCAAGTAAATGAGGCTGTTGGGAAGAAAAGGCTCACTTCTACTTTAGACATATGTAGGATTGCAAAGTATGGTAGACTATGCTAAGTAGAAGTCAGTTCTGCTTGAACTCAGTGGTGTTTATTTGTGAGTAGACACGTTTAGGAGAATTCTGCTCATCTGTCTAGATCATGTTCTTGTTTTTTTATGATGCCAGTACAGTATTTGAATCAGGAGAAGCCTATGCAGCAAGCATTTATGAGAGGGAGTATAACATGTGTTATCACTTTCGTTCAAGCCAACTGACAGCTGTTTCATTTCTTTGGAATACCTCTCTCTTTCAGATACAAATGGTTGTTCAATACACAGTTGGGTTTCAAAATCTTTCCTTTGAGATATTCAGCTTCCTGCTAACTTTACTAGCTGTCACTGTCACTCCGATGTTTGTCTTGTCAGAGCACTGGAGTCACCTGCCTTGTGGCTGCATCATCAATTGCAGAAAGAACATCTATACAGTGTCATCAGAGAAAAGCAAGGGTAAGTAGGAAGGATGGGGAGAGAGGTGACACTGCCTCTTCCACAGGGGCATTATCAACTTCTCCTGTCAGACAGCGCAGATCCAAGGGGATGTAAAGTCCATAGTTTTGCATCATTTTAAACATTTTTCACTAGGACACTCCCTTTGGAGGTCTCATCCACTCATCTGACCCATTTTAAAATACAGACCCCAATGTGCCATTGAAAGATAAATGTGGTCCTCTGGCTGACAAAAATTCAGCATCCACTATATAAAATATGTCCAAATAAGAAAAAAGATGCTACGGTTTTACAGTCTTTTTCTTCAAAGTTAATGGCATTTCACATGGTTTTATTTTTCCTCTCCATGTCTCATTTTATGTGATAAGCATGTTCTTTTGTGCACCATAACGTATCAACTAGGGATGTGAGGGTTTAATCCATGGCAATTTCCTTAACCCTCAGTTACATTTTGGAACTGGGTTCGGGTTGCCATGATTAGATAATTCAGCTCATTAATCAAAAAACAATTTATATGACTCTAAACATATAGATAATCAATCTAACCAATCAGACCATCAGCCATTTATGGTGCCTTATTATACATAAAGCTATTTTTTTCCCTGACTCTATTTACAAGGAGGGAGGGGTGTCAGATCCTTGGCAATTTATTATATGAGGTCATAGGTTGCACAGGACTATGTTTTATTTTCATTTTATCTGAACTGAGAATTCCTAAATGATGCTGAAGAAGAAGAAAAAAACTATAGTTGAAATAGCACATAGATGCCTTTCATAGACTCAACAAAAAATGGATCCTGTTTAGAATCCTACCAAGGTGCATTTCCCAATATTTTTTGACTAATGGACACAGTTGAAATTTTCAGAGCCTATTGTGGTAACAAATTATATCCATGTGAGTGTGGCCAAACACAAAATATCCATGAAGGGAAGTGAAAGTGCCTCTATACATGAAGTGAGGCAACTAAAAATAATATGTATGCATTCTGTTTGAACTACTAGTTTCTGCTTCACTACCCATTGTACCAGAAGCAAAGTAATATGGTTTAGAAATGAGAAACCTGGGTGGGTAACTGAATAAAATGAAATATGCTTATGGGACAGTAAGACAGGATATAAATTGTAAAATTTAAATTAAACCAACTTAAATTAAATTAAATTCTAAGATGGAACCTGAGCTCAAAAGTCAAATTATATATTTCTCAAAAAAACCTGATGAAGTATTTATTTCATAGAAGGCAAACAAGTAATGCTCAGAAAAATAAGCACATTTTTATTTATTTATTTATTATTAAATTTGTATTTATTTATTATTAAATTTGTATGCCGCCCATCTCCCCCAGTGGGTGACTCTGGTGGATTACAATTAAAATCAGAAACCCCATCAACAATTAAAAATCGCCCCATAAATACTAAATAAATAATCCATTAAAAATCAAATCTAAACAACAAACCCTGTACATAAATACTAAAA